TCTGGACTGTGGTCATATTTTTCGATTAGGAGTCGTATATTTAAATAACTCACCGTGACTAATGTTTTGCATTATGAAGTATATTTTTATGAAGGTCAACACACTGTACTTTAGGTAAATATTTACCATCTCGTTATTTCATTATTTCGCTTTCCAGCATTTACAGGAAACGCTTCATTCTAGAAAATGCTATCGCAAAACTGTTGGAAATAATAAATGTAACAGCAGAATACGTCCTAGCACAGTCACTCGACTAGGAGAGTGATTGTGGTCCTAGTAATAAACTAAGTGACTTCCAAAAACTGAATGGTGTTTGCGAACTTCGTATTAGTTATAAACCGACGTTAGCTTCACGTTTATGTCACACCATGGAAACAGCCAAAAACATGGTGCTTGTTTTTGAGCGGAGCGGATCGCCAACCAGCCTACCGGCTTGTCAGGGACTGCTTCCCTGACATAATCTAAACTACCAGAGTGTGAGAAGACTCGTAAGAAGACATAAATAGAAACCATTGAATTCATTGAAATTCAGATCAATGCTTCACTCAAGGATAATGGCTTTTATCGTAATCATTGATCACTTCAAAACTGAGAAGAGATTATCAACTAATTAGACTACAAAGTGTAGAATACCGCATCAATTAAAGCCGATTTCTCATTTTGTCTGATAAGCGATACTATTAATGTCACTAATAATCATCAACTCTCCAGGACAGAGTTGTTTATTTCCTTTTTTTCAAATGCTGTTAAATTTCTCACGATATTATCATCAAAATGAAAATTCGGGACTGCCATGCAAGTCCAAAAACATAAAGCATACGATGAGCCACGTACTAAGGGAACACAAACAATCAAATACATATACCGCATTTATGTATGATAAGAAGCACATCAGCAATAAACACACTTGTCATTTACATGAGCACATGCACTAGTAGCAGAGGAAATACGATATACATATTGTGTACCACGTTAATTTCACAAAAGACAAATTTTCACAGATTTCTTCAGTAAAACTGAAAAATCTTTTTGCAATAAAAATTTCCCTTGGGTTCTGTTACTGTCGGTAGCTTTTGCACAATTTTGTCTTTACGAATAGCATACAATTATGAAATCATGAAAATTTCTAGCATCAAGCAATTAAATGGTTTACAATACTAATGCTGGAAAAGTTTTGGCCATATATTCTGATCTCTGTAATTTCATTTGTCTATTTTTCGTTTTGTATAAGTTGAAAATACTTCACAAACCATAATTATCATATATGCGTTCCAATACTTACTTTTTTCCAACTATTTTGATGCCCAAAGGTACACCATATACCCGAGCCAAGGAAACCTTAGTTACTTCTGCAATAAAATAGAAAACAAGGTTGTTAACTAACAATTGACAAATTACAACATTTTTATACAACATATTGAAACATGAAAGTTTTCATGAAAGAATTTCAACTTCGTAGTTTGTATGATTCAAACCTCACATCCTGAGAAACTTAAGACAACACTCACAGTTGGACTAATGAATTCCTTTTTTTAAAATAGGCACTTCATGACTGACTGAAATACCTCTGATGTGAACAGGAAAGTACAGTACAGTTTTATAAATAGTTTCTTAGGTTAGAATACTGTTCATGATTTTTTCTCATATACGCATATTTTACAACATATACCGGTAGCAGTGACAATATTTTGTGTCAAAATCTGTCTACATTTAATTGTTTTAAATAGAAGTCAACAGTATGCAAATTTGTTTGTTCACTGTCAATCTGATTTTTGAGAAAAACAGTAAATTAATACGCAGCAGCTTCCATAGCCCGCGATGAAAACACATTTCCTCATTAAAAATCCATTAAAAATACTTTTAATATTTCTAGAATTTGTATATCTTTTTTTTTTTACCATATGTCTCCGAGAGATACAAAGACAGATCCTTGCCATAAAAAAACAAAGGTGAAATACCCTAAAACTAATAAAATAAGTTATATTCAGTGTATTGATTTTCTTCGAATGGAGTACAATGACCCCATATTTTTCACACACATGCTGCGTGATAAGTGTGGACATATAAAAAAACACAGCTACACAGAGAAAGGAAACTAACCTTCCCGCTCTGAGGGTAAACTTTTATCTTCTACCTTTTCCCTGAGTATTGTCAACCTAACTACCGAGGACATTCTACTAAGTGCTGCCCTCCCCTGACTATGAGTCACATCACGTAAATCTTCACCGTTGACCTGTGAAATAAAATACATCAGCAATACTTTGTTAATATTGACTATGATTTAGATTTGTACATTTTTCAAAATGGTGTTCAACGTTCAATACATTTTACATACATTGCATTGAGGACAAATTGAAATTTCTTACCTCTAATATTTGATCACCTTGTAAAACTCTTCCATCAGTGTCTATCAACCCCCCTGGGAAGACTTCTTGTACCACGATCCCAACCTGTGGAAAAGGACATTTGTAGATGAACTCTTCTTCCATTCACTTACATACTTACAAGCAAGTACAACCAATTTCGATTAATATGTGTATGTTTCTGGTATGTGATAAATATATGTCCTGCACACATGTCAAAGGTGCTAAGTGCTGACAATTGGGACGATCATCATACACATGTGCAGAGTGTGCCACACTGTTTGTTATGTCATGAACAGTGATTGTAAAGTATGAAGCATGTGAAAGTGTCGCCACCCAAAACTCACAAAAAATTGTCAATTGTGAAATTAAACTGGGCTAGGGAACAGATTTGTAAGAATGTAGATTTCAGTAGAAAACAAAACACACACACACCCAAGAATTGAGGAATTATTTTGTGACCATGGTAACTGTGGGCAGGTCTGAGATTTCTCAACACACTGTGCATGAATATTCATGAGTAATTTTATCTTACTCACCAATGGTGTATCGTTACCGCCTACTATACTGAATCCTAATTCGTCCTCTGTCCTATCCAGTTCAATTGTCGTGATGACACCATCCATGATCGGAGCAGGAGCTACAGCTAAAAATGAAATCATATACAATTATTTTTGAGTACCGTAGTAATTGTTATGGATACTGTATATGATGAATCATTATTTTTGATGCTTTTAAAATATTTGCATACATATTTGTTGGTGAAACTAATAACCTGTTTGAAACACACACTACGAGAAGTGTTCATTTCATTTTAGTTTAAGTTAGTGGAACATTGCAGCATTTGGTTTGAACAGAACAGTGCCCTCTGGTGTTACAGACAACTAACACACATGACAATTTCTGCTTACAACATTTTTTTTTTAATCTGTCTGAAATGTGCACGTTTTGACCATTCTGTGCACATTTAGAACATCTGTTATCAGTTAGCTCAAGAGCTAAATCAATAGTTAAGCTAATAGCTAAGTCAATGTCAGTAGAGTAGCCAAGGTGTTAAAATGGATCAAGTATTGGAAAATTATGCATTCTAACGCAAGCTTTTTGGTTCATTTAGTGTACTTTTGTGGACTCATGTCACATGTATACAATGTCACATGTATAACATAAATAATCCATCAAGTTTTTTTCTTGTAAAGGCATGTTGATTGGATCCCTACTTTGATGAAGCATATGAACTACATAACAGAATTGTCACTGTTGCACTCAGTGCTAAACACAAAAGAATGTTTATTGGCTTAAAGTAGGATTTAGATCACGCTGTAATCCAGCTCCCTTCAAAAGAGTTGCAAGCAGAAATTTCATATGGTAAAAACAAACAGCATTTCGGATTTTTTGTCTGTAGAAAATACATGTGCCTTACTACTTCATAACAATAAACGTTTGTATTTAATATACACAGTTGAGACAGATAAAACAAATAAAAGTTCAATCTGATTTTTATTTTATATTATTTTAATTTTTTTTGTGTGTGTGTATGGTTTATTTTAATTATTTCCCTAATTTAAATTTTTTGTCTGAACTCTCGCAATCTTGAATAACCAATCAGAAGAGGGCTTTATATACAGCAATGGTTAAACTTTAAAGCTTGCTCACAAACAGCATAATTACTGGTCAGATTGGCTGACTAATCTAGCTATATGAGATCTCACGAATGAGATATATTTTACAGAAGTTGTTTAGATCTATGGTTTTTCACCTTCAAAAAATTAACAATTCAAATAATAAAACAGAAAAGCCCAATATGAATGATAAGTTATGTAATATAATATAGAAATAAAGATAATTGATTAAAGATATAATCAAATCACATAAAATGTAGTAAAAACAAACCAAGTGAATTACATAGAAAAGGCAGGATAAAAGTAGCTGCCTCTAAAGAGAACTGCAAGGACATTTCAATAATGCACAGACAGACAGACAGTCTAGTGTAACAAGTCATGAATAATTCATTAAGAACATGAGGCCTCAACTATCTCAATGACAAAGAACCTTTTAAAGGTTAAAGGCAATATTATTGTTTATCTCCCAACACAAACGCTTTGAAGTTGTTTTGAAAAACAGGATCTTGAGGATACTTGTATGCACTTGGGTTGAAAATTACTATTATTATTAAAACTATTTTATTATAAAAAATAATATGTTATTTGAAATTTAGTATTACCTTGGAGGGTTGTTTATTAACTTACACTCTAATTCAATTGTTAAGACAAACATGCCAAAGTTGTAAATGCATTTACACGTTATTTAATGACGACGACGATAACAACCTATGATAGTTTTTCAACATACAGAGCATGTTTGTTTTAATCGCAGGCTTCTTTGGCATAATTGAAATTAAAAAAACAAAAAACAGTTTCTTGACATTAATTTAGGTACTTCAGTCTTTTTCAGTTGAATTTTATTCAAGAATCCCTGTATACATAAATATTGCTCCAATACAGACAATAATTGACAAAATTTTTTTAACTTTGTTTTAACAGAAAATTGCATTCATATAGAAATGATCACAATAAAATATTCTACATACAAAAAATTCAATACAATATTGTTTACTAAAAGAGAAAGACGAAATCTGAGTTCCTATTCACAAAATGAACCATTTTTGACCCTCCATTGGTGCCTTTGTGCTTACATTTCCCTTCACAAAATACTTTTTCAATAAATGACAGAAAATACAAAAGTACAACTTTCTCACAAATGCTACCAAAGACGTGCATTGTTAGGACAGTGTTTCTTCTATAAATAGTTGGGCATACGCTGCAAAGAATGGATGAAAACAATGTGCAGCCACGCAGGGTGTTTTCAGGGTACCACGAAAAATAAAACATTTCCTGTAATGCTCAAATGGTGCAAGACGCTACCCGTACTCAATACAAATACTGTTTCCTACTTCTCGCTGTTCTTCTTGACATCTGCCGCAAATTAGGTCATGCGGTTCTGATTATTGCTGGTTGACTGGGAACTCTGTGCATATTGCAGTCACCAGAAGTAATTTCTTACATACGAGACTAAGACATACAAGTAGCTGACCAGTACGTAGAGTTTTAATGGATTTTTTTTCCCAAGGAAGCAACATGCAACATCCAGTCTGGAGGCAACAGATTAACAGTGCTAGCTCTTTCAGACAACACAATTGTACAATCTACATATACATGTAAGTCATCAATTGAACACAGTAATAGTGTTTGAAATTACTGCTCACTCCTAAGCCTGAGACGAGTTTAACTTTTCAGTCTGGTCGATGAAAATTAAAAATAACATGCCTGATTGTGTGGTAACTTTCTTGCTCATGGTCTGCTTTAATTAAAATTTTAAACATGTAATTTTACAGTTGCTGTCTCCTCCAGTACAGTAAGCTTACTTTGAATGGGAAAATTTGAAAGTTACCTGCCAAAATTTTGAGAAATTTCTAAACTACCTAATGCACGGATTGAATTACATGTATATGGTACCACTTAATCATAAGTACCACCTAATCATGGCTTGAGCATCACAGTACCACCTAGTCATGGATTGAACATCATAGTACCACCTAGTCATGGATTGAACATCACAGTACCACCTAGTCATGGGTTGGATAGCACAGTACCACCTAGCCATGGATTGGATAGCACAGTACCACCGAGTCATGGGTTGGATAGCACAGTACCACCTAGTCATGGGTTGGATAGCACAGTACCACCTAGTCATGGATTGGATAGCACAGTACCACCTAGTCATGGATTGGATAGCACAGTACCACCTAGTCATGGGTTGGATAGCACAGTACCACCTAGTCATGGGTTGGATAGTACAGTACCATCTAGTCATGGGTTGGATAGCACAGTACCACCTAGTCATGGGTTGGATAGCACAGTACCACCTAGTTATGGGTCGAACAGCACAGTACCATCTAGTCATGGGTTGGATAGTACAGTACCACCTAGTCATGGGTTGGATAGCACAGTACCACCTAGTCATGGGTTGGATAGCACAGTACCACCTAGTCATGGGTTGGATAGCAAGTACCACCTAGTCATAGGTTGGATAGCACAGTACCACCTAGTCATGGGTTGGATAGCACAGTACTACCTAGTCATGGGTTGGATAGCACAGTACCACCTAGTCATGGGTTGGATAGCACAGTACCACCTAGTCATGGGTTGGATAGCACAGTACCACCTAGTCATGGGTTGGATAGCAAAGTACCACCTAGTCATGGGTTGGATAGCAAAGTACCACCTAGTCATGGGTTGGATAGCAAAGTACCACCTAGTTATGGGTCGGACAGCACAGTACCACCTTGTCATGGATTGGATAGCACAGTACCATCTAGTCATGGGTTGGATAGTACAGTACCACCTAGTCATGGGTTGGATAGCACAGTACCACCTAGTCATGGGTTGGATAGCAAGTACCACCTTGTCATGGATTGGATAGCACAGTACCATCTAGTCATGGGTTGGATAGTACAGTACCACCTAGTCATGGGTTGGATAGCACAGTACCACCTAGTCATGGCTTGGATAGCACAATACCACCTAGTCATGGGTTGGATAGCACAGTACCACCTAGTCATGGAGTAAATAGCACAGTACCACCTAGTCATGGAGTAAACATCCCAGACCACCTAGTCACCGATTGAACAGCACAGTACCACCTAGTCATTGACTGAACAACACAATACCACCTAGTCATGGGTTGAACAGTACAGTACCACCTAGTCATGGGTTGAACAGCAGAGTACCACCTAGCCATGGATTGAACAGCACAGTACCACTTAGCCATGGATTGAACAGCACAGTATCACCGAGCCATGGATTGAACACAGTACCACCTAGCCATTGACTGAATAGCCCAGAACCACCTAGTCACGGATTGAACAGCAGAGTACCACCTAGCCATGGATTGAACAGCACAGCATCACCTAGCCATGGATTGAACAGCACAGTACCACCGAGCCATGAATTGAACAGCAAAGTATCACCTAACCTTGAATTGAACAGCAAAGTATCACCTAGCCATGGATTGAACAGCACAGTACCACCTAGCCATGAATTGAACAGCAAAGTACAATGTATCACCTAGCCATGGATTGAACAGCAAAGTATCACCAAGCCATGGATTGAACAGCACAGTACCACCTAGTCATGGACTAAACAGCACAATACCACCTTCTTTCTTTCTCTTATAAAACAAGATAGAGTTCTGTAGAACAAAAATGGTGACAAATGATTGCACCAAACCACAGTAGTATTAAGCTAAATATTCATAATATCATATCTTGATGTAGACATTATACACCTAATACAGTTATGCTCTCATCCACTGCATTTATGTTTTATAATTACTAAAATTAATAATAATAAATGTTACAACGTAATATGCAATTGAAACTGCAGCATGTGGAAACTGTAGTGTATTTTTCTACAATAATGAAAACAAGCAGCCTCTCGGCTGAGATAGCTCCGCTGTTAGCAATGCACATTTCAATTAAAGAACAAAAGATATATTAGAAAATGAACAATATGGATAGTATCAATGCAATGGGACTTGCTGTTTTAAACAAGAATTCAAAAATATCATTTTTCACCATAAATGAT